GCGGTTAGTGTCCCTGCGTCCGCCATTTGATTTAGTGCCTCCTCCAATCCAATTGATGTGTCCGTTTGAATGACGCTATCCTGTTTCTCCTATGAGCTCTTAGTGGCTGTTAAATAAGGTCAATTTCGAGGTGTTTGTTGATGGCTTTTTCGGTGGAGTACCACGCTTCCATAAACTCGCGTTCTATTTTTGTTCTTGCTCGAGCCAGTGTGCGAACGCCGTTCCAGTCGAACTCGCGTCCTTCTTGGTCTTTGTGTGCGGAGATGAGGGAGAATTGATAGTGTCTTTTAGTGGCAAGCTTGTGTTCATGTATTCTGGTGGAGAGCTTCCTTCCGGTTTGTCCTGCATACTGTTTGTCGCAGTCGTTGCATTGGATCATGTATATGATATTGTTTTTCGTAACTGGATCTAATTTCCCTTTTGGTCTTGATAGTGTACTCCGCAGAGTATTCGAAGGCTTGTAAGCGACCATTGTATTGTGCTGTCGTAAGAGCCTCGCCGTCAAATCAGCGGTGTTCTTGATGTACGGAAGTTTGTTTAGTTTGCCTGCATTTTGTCCTGTTTCATCGATCGCATGGGGCTTCCTGAGTGTTCTCCAGATGAAACTCCCCATGATGTCTTTTCGTATGGTGACGAAACGTTTGCAAGCCAACTGCCAAGCTCGGCGAACAGATCAACAGAGGGTTGTTTTGGTCACACAGACTCTGAACTACTCAGCACAGCACATGTATGAAAGCCACCACATCTACTTACTGTTAGTATGAAATATGGATCAAACTGAGTAGAACCAAATGTGGGCAGTCTTGGAAAGCAAACCACTCGGTTCTGGCTGAATAGATCATAAGAACGTAACAGAATCGGTCACGTGACGCTTCGACCCACGCACTTTACTTTATTACAGACGGCACCAACATGCGTCCAAAGTTGTGTGAATACCAAATGAAGTGAAGCCGCACAGACGTGGTGCCTCAAGCGGTGATTGTGGCGAGTTCGCAGCTGTTCGCATTGATTCAAATTTCTTCATCATAGTTGCCGAACCAATCATTTTTGAGACCTTGGTGAGAATGACGTATATTCTTGCGAAGTTCCTCTGGTAGACGGTGGCCACTCCAGTGTAGTACATGTGCCGGTTATTGCAGAATGACACCCTCTATTGACGGACGTTACAACACTCTTCAAGACGGCTCACCTCATGGATGTGACCGATGCACTGCGGTCGACGGAGACGTTCTGGTAACCCGCACTCAAACTGACCCGTTTTGTTGCCGCTGGAGACTGCTCACGTAATCGGATTGAACAGAGCTCTTGATTTTCTCTCAGATATTTTCACCGTTGAAACCCGTTAAGATCTCCATCTAAGGACCAAACTGTCTATCGGAACAACTCCTCTTTTCTCATCAGTTGCGGAGGAAGATAGGTGGAGACTTCCGGCGACAGGATACCGAAGAAGTGTTCTCTTTGGCCACAGAAAAGGGCTCGAAAACGGAGTTAGTCTAAACAAAGAGCATGTGGGTGGGGAAATCACAGACCCACATCTGGATTTGGTGAACTTACGGTTGATATAAATTTGGGTTAGATTACATTGACAACAATCTAGCACATAGCCTGGTGAGATAAGATCAGATTTCAGAGTATGAAATTCCCATTACTAACTAATTATTTCGATTCAGAGCAATTGCTTTGAACTGAATTCGCAAATAACGACATGGTTGGTTAATGTCGCCCGCCCGTCTGAGGGTAGAAGTGTACAAACTGGGAAACAGCTTCAAGGAACCAGACCAGATAGGTCACTGCGAAAAAATGGCGCTTCCCGAGTGTCCACTGTAAAGCAAAACAAAGCTTTAGTTGGATAAATGTGGTAAATATGTCTCCCAGTCTAGCTCGAATACCCTCGAAATATGCGTGGTTGACGCCAAGTTTCTCTGCCTAGGCAAGCCTGCCATCGACGAAAGCCAGTATAGTGAACATGTTTCGCACCGTTAGGTCAAATGTGTGTGAACTCGGAGAGATCATGCACCATATACTACTAAGAAAGACGCCAAGAACCGTTAATTTCCCGTTTAATCGAGGTGCACGTATTCAGAAAAACAAAGTTCTCCCTGTGTTCGAAGCCGGGTAAAAATCGACTGGACCCAAACCTGTTCTGGCAAGCTGAAAATCACGTGTTTAGAGCTCACGTTTCGAACCATTTCTGCCTATTCCCCCACCAGACACGTCTGAAGTAGGTTTCAGTCGGTCAGCAGAGGCAACCATCCGTTGTTTCGTTCATTGCTCGTTCAAGAAAGTTGGTAAAACTATCTCACCAGAATTACGTCTACTTTAACGCCTATCCATTCAACCATTGTCCGTTTTAGTGTCATATAATTTTCTGTCGTAGCCCCAAGTCTGGAGCATGAAGACTGATGGATCATGTGAGGAGGCGAAACATAGTTGCTGTCTCATACCGGTCAGGTCGTTTTTCTTATAAATTAGAGTCTTTTGAACGTTGATTTGGGAAAGGTAACCAGATTGTGCGGAATTTACAGAACCAAAAATGCCTCACTTGGTGAAAAGTTCATGGACGTATACAAAGCATCAAATCCCGTTCATCTGTCCGGCCCTTGGATACACACTCAGCTATGAATTCGGACTGATGTATCGTGACCAGTGTATCTAACGGAGGCAGGATGCTACTAGGGTAACGGTGACACTAATGATGGGGAGGCATGTGAGTAGTATTGTTCCTGAAGAGCTGAGACAGTCGACCTTTGGAAGTGAAGGTCCGCCTTGAAATCTTGGGCGATCTCAAGGACGAGTGCTTGGAATGGTAGTTTCCGGATCAAGAGCTCAGTGCCCTTCTGGTAATGATGATTTTCGCGCAGTGCGACGGTGCGGGGGGCTGTACCGATTAGGCTTCTTCACACCACCAGTCGCCGGCGCGCGGCAAGCTGCTTCCTCAGGGCCTTGCCACCAGTGGACTTCCAGGCACTTTGCTTGGTGCGAGCCATCTGGAAGTTTTCACACAGAGACGAACTGATGGCGAGGCATTCGGGTAGTATGTTTCCTCATAAATCCGTTTTGCGTCTCTTGAAAAATGAGATCTGTTACGGAGTTTGTGAAGTCGCTTTGTAGCATCTGCTTGCAACTGAGTAACGGTCAACGAATATCCAGGAAAGTTCAGGAAGATGCGTTTAAGTAGAAGATGGATATCCACTTTTTGTAAACAAGATGCATATGAGAGTTTTGCTTTCCTGTCCAATAGTCTGTAACTGTTCAGTTGGCATTTTCTAATAAAAATAACTCCGCAGCGAAGGCCTTCTCCCTTTCACTAGGACCAGGCTGAGTGGATCGTTTTGAGTCACCCGCGTATTCCAGCATAAACCTACGCAGCCGGTAGGCTCCGAATCAAATCTTCACTCGGAGCGAACCAGTTCATACCAGAAACACAACGCTAGTTCCCCAGGGCTGTTGAAAGTGGACTTTTCAATCGAAATAAAGTGATTCATGGCCGAATTTATTTCTTACTGACACGACCACATATCCTATGGCAAGTTTCCGCGGTCCACCCTCTCGATCCGCACTGGAGCATCAACGGAACCCTTCAGTTCGATTCCGTGTTTCCTCATCAATAAGTAGTGAACCTTGAGATCACTTATTCTACATAACAAGCCTCGATTTTTCTCCGAGGGCCTAAACATGTTTCACAAGTAGCATACAGCTGAGTACCGTGTGAATCAGTGACCTTCAGAAGAGTTGATGAATCAGTAACATTTCACGTGACCATACAGAGATAGTATATTGTGATGATCAGCTTGACGTCTACTTGAGATCGGAAATAATCCACCGAGGCGGGGAGACAGACCATTTTTGGACAAACCGTTTTGAATTGGAAACAACTTGTCTGACGGTGGCGCCCGCATGATGCTCAACTTCCGATGAACCCGAACAAAGCTAAAATCTTGGCACATGTGGCTGACCTGCCAGTTTCCAAAGATCAACCGACTAATGTGACTTACGACTATGCTGGCATTTGTTCCCGTCGAATCCACAGACTGGTACTCCCGGCGGTGGAAGGTTCTTCTGATTCGCCCAGTCAATTGTCTTTCCGGGAATCATACGAATCGAGTAGTTGATAGCAAAATAGTCGGCAACAGGCTGAGAGGAGAGGAAGGAAAGATAGTAAGAATGAGTGTTTGCCAAATGGAAAACCGAGTCACGCTTTACTGTGAAACCAAAGCACAAAAATTTGACCTCCCACCTCGAATGTGTTTGATGCAGGGTCCAGATCTAGCAGAGAATAGTCTGCATTGCGGTCTCCGTTCGAATCGATCCGTATAATGCCGGTGATTCCTGAAACAGAAGAGAAAAAATCGATAATTAAGCAACCAACTTATTAAAACAAATCGTTCAGTTGTCATGCATTCTGAAGAAGACGGTAATGATATTCAAGTGGAAAACGCATTACAAATATACATGTATCGCGATATCTGGAATATCGTAGCGACTGAAACATGAGGCGGACTGGTGCAGCACATTCAGTTGCCTGGAAACGTCACAAACGAGAGATTCAGCTGGGTTCCAGGTGAGACTCTCGTGAAAACCAAATTAGTTTGCAAATGAGTGTATATTCGCTAAAGACGTTCAATTTGGTTTCAAGTAGAACATAAGGTTGACGGAAACTCGGGGACTGCGCCTATCTGATGACCCCCAAGAAGGGCGAAACCGGTCGTGGGCTGTCAGCAACCTTATGAGTAGTGCATTTGATTTAATTTGATAAACTAAGACTTGTTATTACCCCTTTTGTTCTCCTGGGCATTCCATGATATCAGAAAAGAAAAAAATAGACTCTGAATAGGCTCATGTGGAAAATTTGTCATCGAACCGTCGGTCGAATTTCATCTATCCAGAACTATTTTTCTCCCTTCTACCCGTTTCAAATAGGAACCGACTCACACACGATGTCCGCGGTTTCGTCAAATCGAAAGTTGCTCCTCACTGGTCACAAACTGCGTCTCCCGTGGCGCGGTGATATTAGCGCCTAGATTTCCAAACACGAGGTCAGTAGAACCTTGAAAATCTACACCACCGCCTACCTTAAATCTGTTTGCCAACATTCTCTGGGAATCGAAGAGACGCTTAAAAATAACTGCGACAAAAATGTGACCACTAGCTTGGCTGGTAGTCGACCAAAAATGACTCCTGTCACTGAAATTCAACCGGAAATCGACAGGGAGCTAAGAAAACAGCTGCCTGTGTTTTTTCAGACTGGTTTCAATCGCAGAACAAACTGCCGAACAGCACAAACGAGAGATTCAGCTAAGTTCCAGGTGAGTCTCTCGGAAAACCAAATTAGTTTGCAAATGAGTGTATATTCGTTAATTTCGTGTATTTTGGTTTCAAGTAGAACATAAGGTTGGCGGAAACCCGGGGACTGCGCCTACCTGATGAGCCCCAAAAAGGGCGGAACCGGTCGTGGGCTGTCGACGGATTTCCAGCAACCTTATGAGTAGTACACTACAAAGATATGCCGATTCAATAGTTCAAATCTTCTGACACTATCAACAAAGATAAACAACGTCCTTTGATAAATTATTCTGGTTCCCGAACACCTCACCTTTAACTGGACCCGGTCAAATGGAAGTGGAGGAACTCCAATAACACTTACGGATTTTGTATCAACTCACAGCAACGCATAATTCATCGAAGTTGCATTATTACAAGAGATGGTTTTAAACTTCGAAAACCTGTTTATTGTTTGTTTGGTGGACCAAATGAGCGACTTCAGTTGGCATGCTGCAAACAACTTGTGCTCATCCGAGTTATAACGATCTTCCAGACTTTTACGAGCAAAAATAACTAACCGTTGTGTGGATCCACTAAATTCGTATGGGTTTTTAGGTCACAGAGAGCTCGGTGGAACATTATTGTAAAACAATAACTATAAGAATTCGAACAAGTGGGGTCCAGCCAGTTTCACCGAGTACCGTCGAAGGTGAACTCGGACTGCGGACAGCTCCAATCATTTGGTTGGTAAGCCAGTTGAACCAATCGGCAAATCGACTGAAAAGACACACCAAAAGTTGACCACGAAGCGGTGACCTCATACAGGTGATCCACCATGTGAGTTACTGAGGTCACTTGCTCTCCAGTGGGTAAGTTCAGGTTCACCCTAAGTATGTCTTAATTGGACTTCTAATACCAAGATCTACTGAATGTCTGTTAACTCCTCAACGATTTTCATGGACGTCTTTTGGGTATCTGGACGATATCAACATCAGACTGATTGATTGATTGACGAGCAGATAGACAGACAACAGACAGACAGACAGACAGACAGACAGACAGACAGACAGACAGACAGACAGACAGACAGACAGACAGACAGACAGACAGACAGACAGACAGACAGACAGACAGACAGACAGACAGACAGACAGACAGACAGACAGACAGACAGACAGACAGACAGACAGACTTGAATCGAAAAGAATGGCCCGTATCAAGATACGGATTGCAATTCATGGGGGAGAATTTCAGGGTGTGCTATTCACAAATTAAGTTTCGCCAGCGGTTTGTAGAATCCGCGTTCACCTCACAGTCGTTCTCCTGTCCTGGCTTAATTATTCTGGCGAGTCCACATCAATGAGAAACACTGTATTCGAGTTTAGCTTTTATTAGAGTTCATCTGCGCTGCAAATCCCTGGCTTGGCAGAGGTTCGAACTCTGGATATCCGACGTGTGAATCAAGCATGTTACCAATACTCCGCCACTGCACGTTGGCACACCCCAATCATCACGTCTAAGCAGGCGTTGGTGTTCATGCATGAACGATGTGATTGGTTGGCACCCTCTGATGTGTACCCACTTGAGAAATTGCGCGAGGACAGGAGGACGACTGTCCAAGAAGTGGCGTAAAGGCAGTATATATAAAAATATATATCCATAGATATTCTAAACCATACCTCACCTCATTCAATACTGAGAAGAGTTTAAATCAAGCAAAAGTCAAAAATCTATGACTTAACTGTATAACCCGTCTAGAGATAGCCTAAAGCACAGTAACTTAACTGTGTCCGATCTACACAAGAACACCAGTGCGCGGATTGTGATTCGCCTCAGCAGCTTTCCGCACTGGTCGCACGCGTCATCTGTTTTACGGTCTTTTCAAGAAAAATACATTCCTGGTTTCTTCCATACTCGGTATAACATTTAAATTTCCCAAACGGTGCCTTTTTTACTCCGCTTCCTCATTCCCGATGTACGTTTTTTATTCCCGATTCCAGTGCCAGTCGATGTGGTTCGATACATGGTCAATGGCAGTACTACAACACAGCTTCTTGAGATGTAGACTCGGGTTTATGTACTGCCAACTGCCTTGCTCAAAATGGGGAAGATTTTTGGCATTCGTGGGTGTTTTTGAGTCAGTGCAGAGAGAAACCACGCACGGTGTGTAGTAGTTGAGTTCTCAGTCAACCGTATATACAGCTCTATTATAATTGCCCACTTTCTAGTGATATGAATTTAGTCTATACAGTCGTTGTACGGTGAGCGTTCCCTCGACAAGTTGGGAGGGTATGGAATAAGACTATCAGCATGCTGCAGATGCGCAATGACTTTCAGGATAGATCAGTGGTGAAAAAGTGAATTTATTGACCGGAAAGTCCGTGGTTTGAACCCAACTTTGGGCGTCTGGCGGCTACTCAGTCTTGTTGTGTCTCTCGGATGGCACTTTGTTGACGCACCGAAAGTGTGTTACTCCTGAACGGTTACAATCAAAGAAGCGACTCACAAGGCTGCTGAAAACTCTTCGATAGTCCACGACCGGTTTCACCCTCCTTGGGGCTTATCAAGTAGGCGCAGTCCCCGAGTTTCTGTCGACCTTATGTTCTACTTGAAACCAAATATCAATCTGATCTTCATTGAAGACTCACATGAATCTCCCGTTTACAGTATTTTTCAACAGCATGTGCTGTACAGGGGATATCTTATATTTTATTTGGCACGATATTTGAGACATCGCAGTATGTTCTCATAAGGGAAACTACTTAAAAGGTTGCTTAAGGCTCTTCAATAGTTCACGACCGGTTTCGCCATATTTTATTGGCACGATATTTGAGACATCGCAGTATGTTCTCATAAGGGAAACTACTTAAAAGGTTGCTTAAGGCTCTTCAATAGTTCACGACCGGTTTCGCCCTTCTTGGGGCTAATCAGGTAGGCGCAGTCCCAGAGTTTCCGTCAACCTTATGTTCTACTTGAACTGAAATTCTAGTTTTCCACAAATACACTCATTTGCAAAGCAACTTGGTTCTCACAGGAGACTCACGTGAATCTCTTGTTTATTATATTCTCCAACTGAATGTGCTGCACACAGGGCGCCCCATGTCTCGGTTTTTACGATATTCGAGATATCGCGACACATGTGTAGACGTAACGCACTACTCGTAAGGTTGCTGAAAAGTTTTCCACAGCTTATGACTGGTTTCGCCCTTTTTGGAGCTCATCATAGGCGAGAGATTCAGCTTATCAGGCGAAAATGTTATGATAATGTGGCTTTTCGTTGATGCCAGCGTGAATAACACTCAGATTAGCACAAGGACATCCCACGGGTGGTTAGGGCTTTTACAGGACCTCATTTCCGTTGATCGATAGAGTAAGACCATTTAATTCATCCAAAAAAGCAGAAATAAAAGGCAGAATTGTTCGGAGGCCAGCCATCCCCAATAACCGAACATCACATTATTTGGACGGATGTGTCACATGCAGGACACGAGCCAAACGAAGGCATACCCTGATTGGTCAGAACGCCGGCCAATCCGGGCCGAGTATCCTTGACTGGACGCTTCTCGCCCCCTCAGGGTGCTTCTAGCACGACCTTGTGGAACACTCTGTGACTACCCTATGAATACAGTTGTAATAATTTTCCTTTGTCTCCATGAAGGGCTGTGTAGAGCTACCGTGCCTTTTGCTATACCATAGTGGGCGGAGTGGGCGGAGCAGGAAGCCAAGGGACCGATACAGAGTTGCCCTACCGTTCAGCAAGTTACAACACGGAATCGAATCAAAACTTAGAGGCTGACTAATGAATGTTCATGTAGCTGACTTTACATTTCAATTTGCCCTGGAATTACAGTATTCTGCAGAACAAACGGAGCACAATCCGGAAGTCTATGGGAAAAATAACGAGCAATTAGGACTCTGCAAACGAATTGAAAAAGACCTGGGCCAGCGGATTCGCAACACACACACAATGGCCACTTTTCCACATCCGTTCGCTTCCTACTTTAGACAATCCCGAGACAACAAAAAACCGTTTGTTTTTTTAAAAGCCTTGCCTCACAAATAATGAA